CCCGCCCAGCCTCTTCCTTGCCCTCCTCCCCGCCGGCCATGAATTTCTGGGGCGGGCCCGGGCAGAGCCCTGGGCAGCTGGCACCGCAGGAGAGCCGTCCACTCTATATTTTGAGTGGACAAGTTGGGGGGGGTCGTCTAATACGCCCAGTCGCCTTGTACAGCGGCAAGTATGGTACTTCAGTTCCTTAAGTAGGAATGGAAGACTTGAATAGATCCAGGAGGTTACACTCCTAGGGTTTTTCTGTCGTTTAGCCAGGTCTTTGTCCTGCAGCTGCTCTGTAGCTGGCAGTGTAGAGAAGTCTAGCCTGGGACCCTTGTTTGCATTTTTCTAGTGAAAACAAAAATCACTAACACCCGTCTGTGCTTCTCCAGGCAGATTCCGACGATGAAGAAGAGAAGAAACCCAGCAAAAAAGCTTCCAAAGCCAAACAGAAGGTTAGTCTGTGCAGTTTTACACAAAGCTGTTTTAGTATGATTGTGAGTCAAGAATGCTGGGCAGACCCCAATTTGCTCACCTTTCCTGGGGCAAATCCTCCTCTTACGTGGAAGTTCCTTCTCTCAAGACCAAATACACAAATAGTCGCTGTGTTGCTATACAGAGAAAATGCATTCTGCAGCCGCTCAGGGGCATTTCTGATTTCATGGCATATTAAAAACAGGGTGGGGTCGTCATTGGCAACGTCTGGGCCCACTAGGTGTTTTGAACCTCAGCTTCGAGAAGACCTGCCTATTTGGTATGTTGCCTGCAGCTCCTGGGAACTGAAATCCAAAATACCTGGAGGATCAGAGGCTGCTGTTCTAGGTTGACACATCTGTGCCATCCAGATGTGTATGGGTACTGTCATTTCACATGCTAGTTGAGGGATACTGTTATCTAGGGTGGAGAAAATGTGGATTGTGGGTTGTGTATGGCTTCCAGGCTATTCCTGAGACCCCGCAAATGTTCCCATAAAATAGGGAGGGGGAGGGATTGTTCCAGGAGACGGCCTTTCCTCTGACTTGGTGTAGCCTTTGGTGGAATGCTGGGCATCAACATTTAGCTCCTTGTCCCAATTAAAGTTGACAGACTCTGCTGTAGCCCAACTCATCTGCAGAGCATCACGTTGGGAAATTAATCTTACAATTGTAAAACAGATTTATTTCTCATTTGTTATTTTAGTTATTCCATTTTAACTCACCTTTTCACTAAAAACCCTCAAAGTGGCTTTCAAAAGGATAAAAACAGATAAAGTCACATGTAACTTTAAAAAAAAACCCTCTATAAACCAGACCTGCTTTGAAAAGTCATTACAGTTAAGCAAATCAACGAGAAGACAAATTGGGAGGAGCTTGTGGATTCTGAGGGTTAACCTCCTTTTTTCGTTCACTTCTCCTGCCTGGACTGGACTGAGAAAGGAATCCACCCGTTCCCGGGTGGCTCCTTCCTGCACATTGAGAAAGATATGTTTTCGCCTCCTTAAAAGCAGTCAGAGTGGAAACGATAGCAACCTTGGGGAAATGAGTCCTTTCCACAGTCTGAGTGCCCCATGGAGGAGGAGGGGTTGGGATACCTTCACCTGCATGCTTGTTAGGCAGACTTTTAAAACCATTGACCTGATACAAGCTCAGCCCTGTATTGTGGCCTTTCTAATAATGAAGCAACACAAGAGGCACCCTTCAGATACAGACTGGTATCCGTTCCCACCTTTCTTGGAAAGCTTAAGAATGGGCTTTCACAGTCTCCTTGCTGAATTCCCACCTTTCTTGGAAAGCTTAAGAAGAATGGGCTTTCACAGTCTCCTTGCTGAATCTCTCTCTCTAAAGGCAAGGTCCCTAAGCATATATTTATGCTACCTATGATAGGAACGATAGAATTTGAGCTCGAATTTTTGTTTTTCAGGAGGAGGAGGAGGAGGAGGAAGAGCTAAGCATATATTTATGCTACCTATGATAGGAACGATAGAATTTGAGCTCGAATTTTTGGGCCTTTCTTTTTCAGGAGGAGGAGGCGGAGGAGGAAGAGAGCAAGCAAAAGAGCAGAAAAAATGAGAAGAACAAAGGAAAACAGGTTCGGTGGTTCAGTGTTCTCATGAGCAGATACTCAGTTTTTAATTTTTATCTAGCAATTTTATTTCATGTCTTTCAACAATGTTGAGTGTCTTCCAGTGCCATTTTTGTGCAGGTCAGATTGAGGTTGCTCCCATTTTACAGATGAGCAGTTGAGGTTGAGGCTTTGGTAGTCCCGTGTTTCTGTAACTAGGCTTTCTATACCATAATGTAACCTTGGTCAGTGTTAGCTCTTCTGTGCAGATATTTGTTCTTCATTACCTGTGCAGATCGCATTAAAATACATCATTTATCTCATTTTAATTGAAGTCCAAAAGGGTTCTGGGTTGTACAGTGGCTGGCAAATTTGGAGAGAGCCAAGAGTCATAGATAATCAGTAGGGAGCTGTGATAGCAAAATATTGATTTTCTTCTTCTCCCAATCAAAAACTTCAGGAGATGAGGAAAGATTCAGTTCCCAGGGCAATGGGAACCAGAATCCAGAGAATTTCGGGTGAAATTTTCAGAATTTGAATTCTGCTTCACATTTCTAATAAATTCGCTGAAGTTTGAATGCATGTGGAATTTCTTTCTGCTACAGACAGGGCATGGGGGAGAGAATGGATAGGACCCTCCCGGTCTGTGCCCCTCTTCTGCTGTTGACCATTCCCCATGGCCTCAGTGGGTCTGTCCACACATTTATTTTGTGTTTGTTCTCCTGCCATCTCAGAAAGGAGGCTCAGCAGTTGCCATCTTGGATCAGAGTGATGAGGAAGAAGCCGTAGAAGATGTGAAGAAACCCAAGGACAAATTGAAGGTGGGGGAAAAGGAGAACCTGAGAAATGGACTTCCAGGGCCATGGAGGACATCTAACAAAAGTGGCACGGGGTAGACAGGCAGGAGAAGCCGAGGCTTTGGGGTTTCTGTGCCTGATGGTTAAAATATCTAATTAGCCACAGTTATGCTGTCCGAACTTCACTCCCCCAGCCTTGGAGCTGAGCACCGATCTGAATAGTGTGTGGTCTGCTCTTGAGCCACTGCCAAACCTTCCTCAGTTTCTCCAAGGCAGCAGCTCCTGGGTGCCTGTTAAGACATTCTTCTACAGCATAGAACTCTGTCCTTTGGTATCCTAGCGTAAGACGGAATTGGCAGCCCCTTTATTACAAATTCAGAAACAGCAGGGGTTACAGCAGGAGTGGGCAAAGCTGATCCTCCCCAACTCCCCATTTCAAATATTAATTGTTTTAAAAAATTGGGTTGGGAGCCATTGCACTAGAAAGTATGAGAAGGCCTTCTGAAAAAGAAAGAAAGAAAGAAAGAAAGAAAGAAAGAATGAATTGAATGAATGAATGAATGAATGAATGAATGAATGAATGAATATTTTAGGCATGATTAGTGTGGGAGGATTTACAGCTCTCCAGGGGTGGGGACGTATGGTTCCTAGACCTCTGGATGTCACTTTTCCAAGAAGAGTGCCTGCATGGCTGGGGTGGGAAAGCTGTGTATCCACATGTTTTCTCAGGGCTGAAACCTCCTACTTCTGGAAAGACCACACTTGAAGAGGCAGAATTTTAGCCTGCTTCTGTCCCCATGGTCTTATTTGGCAGGTTGGCCTTTTCAGCCACAACTCTTCTCAAACCCAGTCCAATGAATAAGTCCTCCTCCAGTGACCTTCCTTATTTTCCATCCAGTTGAGCAGCGTGCCTGCCTTCCACTTTCCGTCACTGCCTGTTCTACTTTTTTGCAATGTATGTAAATGAAAGAGCCCCTTCTAAAGAGGAGAGCTTCAAAAAATGAAATTAGATTGGAAATTGCAAACCTTAGATTGGCCTTGCGTGGCACTTGGGTGATTTCTATGGAGCATGACACCTAGTGATATAGGGAAGGAGCCTTGTTATCAGCAAAGACGAAGGCTTTGTAGCATCCAGAAAACATTCAGTTTGTTAACTTAGTCAACTGACCTGGTAGCCTTATAGGGTCTTAAGGAATCTGTGCAGGCTGGTGGCAGAGGGACAGATTTCTCTCTTCCACCTCATGGCTTCCTTGCAGGCTGACAAGGAAGGGAACCCTTTAGCAATGTCTCTCTTGCCAATGTATTCGCAAAGGCTTTCACGGCCGGGATCTAATGGTTGTTGTGGGTTTTTCGGGCTTCTTGACCGTGTTCTGAAGGTGGTTTTTCCTAACGTTTCACCAGTCTCTGTGGCCGGCATCTTCAGAGGACAGCAAACCACCTCCAGAACATGGTCAAGAAGCCCGAAAAACCCACAACAACCACTCTCTCTTGCCAACATGCTTGGAATATTGCTTTCCATACTTGACACAGAAAGGGGGCTACCTTTTTTGCATGGAAACCCAGGATGCTGCTTTCTTACAACAAGATAGATCTTTGCAAGGCTGAACTTAACTCATCTTGCATCAAGGGTGGTGAACATCTGGCCCCCAGCACTTCCTGTGCTGTAGCCTGTGTGATCCCTTCCCAATGGCTATGCTGACTTGATGGATGGATGTTTCAGCTCCAAATGTCTGGAATGCCCTATGTTGTTCACCCATTCCCAAACCAAAAGAAAATATTCTATATGTGCAGATATTCTATATTCTATATGTGCAGATGGCAGCCTGTGGTTTCTCTCCTTCACACCCCCTTATAATTTTGGGTTCTTCTTCCAGTCTGCAACCAAACAGGCTGCTCAGCCTGATGAAGCTGCGAAAAAAGCGAAAGGGAAGAAGACTCTGCCAAACAAGGTAAGGGAGCCTGCAATTGTTCTGTGTTGCTTTTAGTTCTCAGGTGTGAGCAGACATTGAAGAAAGCTGAGGGGGGGGAGGGAAATGATTCTTTGGACATGTGGTGCTGGAGGAAAGCTTTGTGGATGCCCTGGCCTGCTAGAAAGAGAAACAAATGGATCCTAGATCAAATCAAGCTTGAACTATATCTCTGGAGGCAAAAATAATGAAACCGAAGCTGATGTGCTTTGGACACATCATGAGAAGAGAGGTTTTTCTGGAGAAGACAGTAATGCTGGGAAAAGTGGAAGGCAGCAGGAAAAGCGGACACCCAAATAGAAGATGGATTGACTTCCTAAAAGAAGCCACAGGCTTGAGCTTGCAAGCGCTGAGCAGTGCTGTTGAGGGCAGCCCATACTGGAGATTGCTCATTCATGAGATGACCATAAGTCAAGGGCAACTTGACAGCACAGAACAACAACAGCTGACCAGACATTGAGTGTGTGCTGTGATGGAGACTATAGTGGATGAATGGGGGAGAGATAAGATCCCAACCTTTTCCTACAGCCACATTGTGCTATCATTGAAATCCTAATTTTATCAGTTCATTGCCATTATCTGTTAAAGATATGAAGTGGCCTGAATATAAGAATATTATAATGAACACAGTTTTCCAGTCCACTGCATTAATCAAAAGCTATGCTATGTAGGCACTGTTTTTTTTTAATATGCTAAAGATGAATTTTGCTAGAAGTAACTAAGTTCTAAATCCCTCCATCTCCCAACTTATACAGGCATATATTATGACCATCCTTGTAGTTTTCCTGCTTTCATGAACCATAATGTTTTATGGTTTTAGTTCTAAGATCCACTCTATTCTATTTTGCGACTCCTAGCCAATGAATGGGGAAAAGTTTTCCCCGACAATCCCATCATATCTAAAGAGCTTTCAGGGGTTCAAAACCTGGTGTATCCTATGGGCTTACTTGAGGCTGTGCTGGCTTTTTCAGAACATGTTTGCTGCTCTAGAGAACGAGGAGGAAGAGGAGGAGGAAGAGGAGGGGGATGAGGATGATTATGAGGAAGACCCCGACAAGGGCAAAGAAAAATCCAAGCAGAACAGCCAGCCGGTAAGGGTTCCCCACCTTCTGTCCAGGGACACTGTGTGCTGTATGAATTATTTGCATTGGCCTCTGTCTGTGAGAACTGTGAAGGAGCTAACCTCATACAATGCTTTTCCCTCAACCTGCATAGAATGTTTTGTATGTACTGTATCAGTACATGTACAGTGGCGCCTCGCTTAGCGATGTTAATCGGTGCAGCAAAAATTGCTGCTAACCGAAAACATCGCTAAGCGATTTTCAAAAGCCCATAGGAATGCATTGAAACCCCTTCAATGCGTTCCTATGGGCTTAAAACTTACCTTTAAGCGAAAATCCTCCATACGGCTGCCATTTTTGCTGCCCGGTATGCGAGGAATCCGTCCCAGAAAACAGCGGGCAGCCATATTTTTTACCTGGCGGCCATTTTGGAACCACCGATCAGCTGTAGGAAAAAGATCACTATGCGATAATCGGTAAGCGAAACAGCTTACTGATCATCGCAAAGTGATTTTTTCCTATTTAAAACGTCGCAATGCAATCGCTTTTTCGATTGCAAAATCTTCGCTAAGTGGTTTCGACGTTAGACAGGGCGCTCGTTAAGCGAGGCACCACTGTATGTACAGAAGTGAGTACACCCTCACATTTCATAAATATTTTAGTATATCTTTTTATGTGGCAATACGAAGAAACGACATTTGGCGACAATGTAAAGCAGTGAGTATACAGCTTTTATAACAGTGTAAATGTGCTGTCCCCTAAAAATAACGCAGCACACAGCCATTAATGTCTAAACCACTGGCAACAAAAGTGAGTTCACCCCTGTGACGATGTCCAAACTGGGCCCAAGTAGCCGTTTTCCCTCCCTGGTGTCATGAGACCCGTTAGTGTCACAAGTCTTGGGTGTGAAGGGGGAGCAGGTGTCATCGCTCTCACTCTCTCAGACTGGTCTCTGGGGAAGTTCCACATGGCACCTCATGGTAATGAACTATGTGTGGATCTGAAAAAACAGATGGTTGCTCTATATAAAGATGACCTAGGATATAAGAAGATTGCTAAAACCCTGAAAGTGAGCTGCAGCAGCACGGTGTTTTTATCCTCCACCCATTTTCTTACCTTCCTTCTACTGTACAATCTTGTGTAGTGTGTGCTGTGAACCAGGTAAGGAAGAAGGAGGATAAGAGGTGAATAGATGGTTTCTCAGGTTATGACCTATCCATGCTCTTGGACCCATCAGCAACTTTGCTGCCTGAGGAGACCACATGGAGACGTCTCTCCTAGTGGTTATTTGTTGCAGGAGTAATCTTAAGTCCCTTGGAACCGTACTATAAGTAAAAAAAAGATATAAGCTGTATGCTATGCTTCTGAACGTTTTCCACTGCAAACATTCCATAGTCACCATTCTTGGTCTTTTTGCCTGTCCCCATTTACTAACATAAATGGGCTTCCTGTGAATTCTGTAGCAGTCGGAGGAAGAGGACGAGGAAGGAGAGAAGAAGGAAGATGATCCCTACGCACACCTTAGCAAAAAGGAGAAGAAGAAACTCAAGAAACAGGTTAGATCTCTATCAGAAATTGCCCTTGCTCTGGTTACTTCTAAAAAAATCTTATCTCTAGAAGAAAGGACTTGTGGTTTTCTCCATCTCATCTCGACATCAGCCATCCTATTTGTAACTTTTTATTTTCTCATCATCCTTTGACTTCCTATCTTTTTGCTGTCTTCGTGAAAGACTTTAGGGAGGGGTTTGTTCAGTGGCGACAATGAATAAGCTCTGTTGCCAGTGTCCTACCCTGGGAAGTATGTAGGTGTGTTGTATTGAGGAACCCAAATGCTAGAGGAGTAGGAGAACCTTTGGCTTTCCGAGTGTTTTAGCGTTGTCTCCCAGAAGCTTCAGCCAGTGTGACCAGTAGTAAGCAGTGGTGGGAGCTGTGGTCCAGATTACATCTGGTGACCCGGAGGTTCTCCGTTTCTGTCCTGCAGTCGACTGCTCCTGTGGCCAGTCCGTAGGCCTGTGGGACATTGCGCTCTTGATAGAACCAAGCGCACCTCCAACGTGTATATAACGCTTTCCCCTTATCACAGGTTAAACACAGCCAGACCCCAGCCTCTGAAGCTGGGGAGATGGTCAGGATCATCAGAGGAGCAGTCTAACTTTGACTAGCTCTGGCAGTCTTTGTTTAGAAATACTGCACTGCCTTGTACAGCCACATCTTAGAATTGGTGTTAGGCAGTGGATGTTTTGCATTGTTTATTCAGGCAGGAGTTATTTTTTCCTACGTCAGGAAAAATGTGGACTCAAAACTGCTTGTAATGGTCCATTAAATTACAACTCACTGGTGCTTAAATAGAAGTCTTGTACCAATTGTTGCTTCTAGCACAGACAAGTGCAACCATTTTAAATCTTTATACATCTTGCACCACAATTTTATTTTTATTTTTATTATGGTGTATTTATTGGAATTTATTTTGCTTCAAATTGTCTCTGAATATAAGCCTCTGTTGATGATTATGGGATAAGTAAATGATGTGTGTGTGTGTCTGACCTCAGTCTTAAATGCAGTTTGTGGGAGGCAAGGCTTATTACAGTGGTGACTCGCTTGATGACGATAATCCGTTCAGTTCAAATCGCTGTTAAGCGAAATCGTTATCAAGCGAAAGTAAAAAACCCATTGAAATGCATTGAAAATCGGTCAATGCATTCCAATGGGTGAAATACCTCATCGTGGAGCGAGGATCCTCCGTAGGGCGGCCATTTTCCGATGCCTGTAAAGCGAAGAATCCACCCTGAACACAGCAGGGAGCCATTTAGAAAACCCGACGATCAGCTGTTTGTGATTGTCGTTAAGCAAAAAAATCGATTCCCGAAGCAGGGAACCGATTGTCGTCAAGCGGATTTTCCCAATAGTGATTGCAAAAAACTCATCGCAAAGCAGATTCATCGTGGAGTGGGGTAATTGTCAAGCGGGGCATCACTGTAGTTTCATTAGAACATCCCATAAATGTGTTGAGGTTGGAAGAGAAAGATCTTCCTAGCTAAGCCATGATCTTTCTAGGCAGGAGGTAGCCATGGTGAAGGAATGTGGCTAGAGCTGAGGAGGAGATAATGGAGCAGAGAAGATTCATACCTGAGCCTGAGACTTTCCCAAGACTGTTAAGGCCAAGAGCTGGGAAAGAGATGGCGAGGAGAGAAAGAGGCGGGAGGCCAAGTCATGCTTCACTCCAAAGTGGTCTCCAAAGTGGCAGAATCCACATTTGGCGAGCATTTTCCTAGTTGCAGCTGACCGGGGGATAACGGGTGAAAGAAAATGAGGGGGCAGGGGCCCCGTGGTGTTTTGCTGGTGCCTTGTGGTCAGAGCTCTCTTGGTTCCCACAGATGGACTTTGAGCGGCAGGTGGCAAGCCTGAAAGCAGCCAACGCGGCAGAGAATGACTTCTCTGTGTCACAGGCAGAGCTGTCCTCTCGGCAGGCCATGCTGGAAAATGCCTCCGACATCAAGGTACAGTATCTCATTCCACCCACCTTTCCCCGCCTTGCCCCTTGGAAAGCCAGGGGGTGTGCGTGTGTGTTGTAGCTTAGTAACAAAGCAAGCAGGTCGCAGGTCGATCGGCTTTGGTCCGGTTGCAGACCTCTCCGCTGCAAGCGCTTGGAGAGCAAACCCGCTTGTGATCGTAGCTAATTTGTTGAGTGCCGATATTTCGTGATCCCATAAACTATTTCAGGCATTTAAAAAAAATCTAAACGCCTTCAGTGTTTAAAATAATTGCGTGCCATTGAGTCCATTCAGATTGACAGCAACCCTTTTCAGGATGTTTTAGGTAGAGAGTACTCAGGAGCGGTTTACTATGCCCATTTTTCAGAGGCGCCTTGGAACTGTGCAGCTGGCCCAAGGCCACACGAGCGGTTTACTGTTCCCGTTTTCCGGAGGCTCCTTGGAACTGTGCAGCTGGCCCAAGGCCACACAGGCTGGCTCTTTTGGGAGGCACGGGGGGGGGGACTGAAGCCCCAACCTCTGGGTCACGCAGCCAGAAACCTAACTCACCGAGCTATCCATCCGACACGTCCATGTTAGGGCTTTTTAAAAGCAAAGTCATAATACAGGCATTATTCCTGTAAATGTTGTGCAATGCTATACGTATAATTATATCGCAAAATGCAATAAAAATTAATGCAAAGGCATTATGAAATGTAATGTAGAATGTTTGATGGTTTGTCAAGGCCAGTGTTGACTGGAACTCCTCTCCCTTCTGTTTCTCTGAAACAGTTGTCAAGAGACCATTGGGCTTTCAATGCTATTAAGAGCAGGATGAGTTAAGGCTTAATATGTTCGGCAGTGATCAGCAGTAAGTTATGTGCCATTTGCAGCTCCCGGGTGGTTTAGGTGTGATTCCTGAACAATGTAGGAAACTGAATGAAGGTGGAATTAAAAGGAATTATGCATGCATTACTTTAGTTATTCATCAAAATATTTATATCTTACCTTATATCCAAGGACCATGGGGTGCCATACAGGCAATAAAACCCCACTAAGCAATTTAAAATAGCAGTTTAGAACAGCTAAAGCATTTTAAAACAGTTTGAAACTCATTAAACACGGTATATGTTGTATACATTAAAACAGAATATGATGTATATGTTGAACCACAAACCAATTGTATATCTCCAGAGAGTCTTCCAAAACAGTTTGAAATAGTTTGAAACTCATTAAACACAGTATATGTTGTATACATTAAAACATAATATGCTGTATATATTGAACCAGAAACCAATTGTATATCTCCAGAGAGTCTTCCTTGCCCAAGCTGTCTGGGGGTTATGGGAGTTGTAACTGCAAACATCTATAAGGCCTCAAATCTGGGGACGACTTCCTTAATGGTGTAGTCATATTTCCTTGTCCCCTAATTTCTCATCTGAAGGCTCTCTGATTAGTGGGATCAAAGGATAAGCCATTTCTGCTCTGTCCTCTTTCTGTCTACAGGTTGTGAGATTACCTAATTCAGTGGTTTTCAACCTTAGGTCTCCAGATGTTCTTGGACTACAACTCCTGGAAATCCTGGCCAGCACAGCTAGTGGTGAAGGCTTCTGGGAGTTGTAATCAAAGAACATCTGAGGACGCAAGGTTGAGACCACCAACCTAGTGGAATAATTTCCCAATTGATGGATCTACTTTCCCCTCTGCATCCTTTTTCTTTATGTCTTAGTTTCCCCTATACAAGGAGCTGACCTTCTGGATAGCTCAGTGGTTTAGGCCTCTGGTTCCAGATTCAGAGGTTGGGAGTTCAATTCCCCACTTTGCCTTCTTGACAGGGGTTGAACTTGATGATCCAGAGAGTTCCTTCCAGCTGTACAGTTCTAAGATCATTACTTTTCTGGAAGAGTGTTCAATCCTACAATCCTGCCTCGTGATCTAAAATGATACCACTCCGGAAAAGCTGTACTGCTTAGTTCTGCTTGCTGCATGAAATAGCCCGAAGGGAGCTCAGTCTTCACAGGGCTGACTTCAGAGTCCTAACGTGTTGGAAACTGCAGGTCACATGGGGATTTGTTTACGTAGGAGGGAGATTAATCGGTTTTTAGAGCGGGTGCAGTTAATGCTTGGCGGCACTGGGCCACAGGCCAGTGTGCTTACATGTGCTGGACTGAGGATTAGAAGCAATAAAATAATGGGCAGCACAGTTTTCTTACATGCGGTTCCCAAACTTTTTTCACTCGCATACTCCCTTGGCAACCCGTTTCCATAAATTGTGCCCCTCATGTTAGGGGACAGGGCTGGGGGGGGCCACGACTCTCCACCCTCTCATCTTTGGGCCGCTTCCTCATTGCGTCTGGTGGGATGTAGGAGCACAACAGCAATGGGGTTAAATCCGTAAGGAATTTTGTCCAATACAAACTGCCATGGATAGGAAAGGAGCAGGTGGCCCAGGCACCTGACTTAGTTGCGGAACGAGAACAAGAGCCTTGGAGTGAAAAACAAGTTGGCTGGGCTCTCACACTGTGAGTGGGGAGAGAAGGTTTTTTTTCACCACCCAGGTTATAAATAAGTGACTTACACTGTTGACATATGTGCCTTTTCCAACCATTATTCTTTTTTTTAAAGTACACCTAAATGTCCTGGTTGTACCTCTGGGAGCAGACATCCCCCAGTTTGCAAATCACTGCTCTGTGAATTAAGTCTCTGGCTGTGAAGCCAGAGGCTGGGAGTTCAATTCCCCACTATGTCTCCCAGAAGACTTGATGGCTCACAATTATTATTATTATTACTGTTTGGTTGGTCATGACAAAGGTTTATAATTCTCAGTAAACATAAACATAGCAGATTTTGCATTGTAGCATATTTCTGATCCTTGACATCAAAAGTCAGATCCTCCCTCATTTTCTTTTCCCTCCTCATCCTTCTTTCACATAGAAAACAACTTTGAATTTCAGAGGTTTTTTTTAAAAAAAAAAACGAGATTATGGAAGTTTCAAGAAGTGTAGGCACTCAATGTGCTTCATCTTGAACCAGGGTTTGTTTTCTGTCTACCTGACCTGTAGCAACATTTTTTAAACAATTTTTTTTAGGGGCAGGGCGAAAGCGGTAAATACAGAATCAAAATGGTAGTGGAATTGTAAAGAACAGCAGAGTCAGGAGCAGCTTTAAAAACATGGAAAGGTGGCTAATATCTACATCTTCTATTGCAGCTAGAAAAGTTTAGCATCTCGGCTCATGGCAAAGAATTGTTTGTCAATGCGGACCTATATATTGTGGCCGGGCGCCGGTATGGTCTAGTGGGACCTAACGGGTAAGTATTTTGTGTGACTTGGCAGCAGGATCATTTTATTTGCTTTTTTCACCAGATAACAGAATACTTGTTCCGTGTTATCTGTATTGACTCCTGCTTCTGGAAAGACATGGTGCTGCAGTGAGATTTTTGGAGAGTGGGCTGAATGTGGTCGCCCCACCCCACCCCGTGTCCATATTAACATCAGATCTCATTCTCTTAATTATGTGAGGCTCCAGCCTCCCCCTCCCTTAATGTGTGCCATGATTTTAAAAACCTTCCCCTCTCTTCCCAGGAAAGGCAAAACCACCTTGCTAAAGCACATTGCCAACCGCGCCTTGAGCATCCCTCCCAATATCGACGTACTTCTCTGTGAGCAAGGTAAGAAAGGAAAAGGGGAGTTTTGCTTTCTTCTGAGTCCCCCACCCCCCACCCCACAGCCAACATTGCTTTCTCATACTTCTCTGGGATCCAGGACAGAAGTCTGTCGTATAAATAAATCGTATCCCTTGCTATTTTAGGACATATCAGAGCTTTTGGGATTTTTTTTCTCTTTTAATTGGATTACAACTCCCTGAATTTCTGAGCTAGCGTAGCCATGCATAGGATGAGTGTGATTTGCCACTTGTGTGGGGGTAAAGTATTCTCTCTTTCTGTCTGCAATGCAGATAGATGTGTTTGGGAGCTCAAAGGTGGAAACTTCTTGGAAGAAAGTCTGGTAAAGACATAGGGGAGCAGGTTTAAGATGCTGAGAAGCAGCATCTTAGTAGCTGCTGCAATCTTCAGAGTCCCAGGATGATACATTAATATCTGCATCCAGGTTGCCCTCACCCGTGTGCTTGCAGCAGTGATGTTAGTTTATTAATTAATTGCATTTTCTATTTGGAACTTTGTTGTATAAATAATAAAATAAATAAATAAATTGTATCCCTTCAAAACAGTCCCGAAACCAGCCAAATCAGGGAGCTGGACAAGGGACAGATTGTATTTGTCTTCAGTGTGGAAGGAATTGTCACTCTCAAATTGGCCTTCTCAGCCACACTAGACGCTGCTCCAAGTCCTCTATTCAGAGCACCTTACCATAGTCTCTCGACACTGAAGGATACCTACTATGTAATTGCATTTATATTTCTTCCTTCAGTAAGGCTGGGGTTAGGGGCACTAGACTCCCGTGTAGTTCACAATCCTTCAATAGCTCTTATGCCTCCCCCAAACATAGCTACAAAGTAAGAATGGTTGATTCGCACAAATGCATATACATCTTCCCTGATACATCCCAGCATGCCCCAGTACCCTCCCTGGCTGCCCTGTGGAGTTGCTGTGACAGGTGAGGGCCCTAATCAGGCTGCTGCCATCAGACCAGGGAATGCCTCGCTGCCAACAACAGGGCCCTAGGTAAGCCCAAGACTCACCTTTCTCAGGCCACTTCCTGGAGACCAAGAGCAGCACAGCGTTCATTCATTCATTCATTCATTTGGGAAAAAAACATGGATAACCAAAACTATCCTGCTCAGATCCTTGCAATTCAAGGGAGAAGTGTATATCCACCCCACCTTTCCTCCAGCAGCCTCAAAGCGGCAACTGGTAGTCCATGGTAATGTGGATATGGACGTTCTCCTGGGCCATTATAGCCAGTAGCTCTTGACGCACTCCATAAATCTGTCTGATTCCTCCTAATGCCATTTGGGAGACGTGGCCAACACCCATACAGTACTGCTGCAGAGAACATTAAAAGCAATCATCAATCATTCTTGCACAGTGCATTCAAGATGGTTTCGCAGGTATTATCTGGTTGTCATCCTACACAGAGAGAAAAGTGTCATGCAAGAGAAACCAACTGACTGGTCCTTCTAACAAGCCTGCATTTAAAGGCAGTAAGACGTGTCTTACTCTCCCCTGTATCCCAGATGGTAGAGATGAGGCAGAGAAAGAGTAGCATTCCTAAGACAATTTTGTATGAGGCCCAAGGCAAGAACTGGACCAGAGACTTCTTGCTGCCTCCCATAGCAAGACATTCCATAATTTTTTATTTATTGTTTTATTACAGTGTGTGAATATGAGCTGTATTACCCATTTCTTTGCAGACTTTCTGCACTCTCTGTCCATTTCCTTGAGTTTTTTTTAAGTATCTGCAAGTTTTCAGTGTCCTACCAATCAGAATCCCCCCCCAAAAAAACCCTCCTGCAAGGCTTGAAGGCTTCTTCCTTCACGTAGCCCTTTCTCATCCCCCCCAGAGGTGGTTGCAGACGAGACCCCGGCGGTGCAAGCTGTGCTCAAAGCTGACACCAAACGGCTGAAGCTGCTGGAAGAGGAGAAGCGTCTGCAGGCGCTGCTGGAGAAAGGTGACGACACCGCTTCCGAACGGCTGGAAAAGGTACTTGGGAACCATTGTCCCTCCTGAGGGGTGCTGTGTTTCCTTTTTTTGCGTACGGCAGGGTTGAAGACCCTGTGGCCCTCTGGATGATGTTGGAAGCTGGTTTCCATCAGCCTCGGCTAGGCTGTCAAATGGTGTGAGATGATGGCTGTGGTAGTTCAGCATCAGCTAGGAGGGTCACAGATGCCCCAGCCCTGGCATAGGGTATTTTGAATAATAATCCTGTGCCTTCAAGTCGATTCTGGACTTGTGGCGGCCTTTTCCAGGGTTTTCGAGGCAGAGAGTACTCAGAAGTGCTCTACCACTCCCTTCTTCCAGGGTTGCCCTGGGACTGTGCAGGTTGCCCAAGGCCACACAGGCTGGCTCTACTTGCAGGAGGCCCAGTGGGGAACCACGCTCCCAACCACTGGCTCTGCAGCCAAATATCTAAACTCTTGAGCTATCCAGTTGTTACCAGACTGGAATGACTGACTCGTCTAAACATGTCTGTAGACCAGGTCCCAATAGTTGCAAGTACATCTACAGGATCCTGCCCTTGTTTTATTGGAGGTTGTCTTACTTGGGACAGGACCCAGGAGCACGTGGCTTCCTCCCTTCCGATCCCAATCACCTCTCCTATGGAAGAGTGTGAAAACATGTCCTGTTAAAGGCCCCATCTTCGCTGTGAGTGTGGCAGGGTTGGTAAAACACGGCAAGAGGTAACAGGTATAGGTTGAAATGTGTACTTATTTCTCTAGCCCAAGGTTGGGTAAGGCTGTGGTGCTCCAGATCGTGATGAATTATCCCTCTCATGATCCCTTAGTACCGTTGTTCAGTTCAGCTGGAGCTGATGGAAATTCGCGCCTAACTAGAACTAGTTAGACCGCTTGGGTGCAGCTAGTGCACACAAGTTTTAATTGTGCAAAGGCACTCCTGGCCACTGCCAAAAGCTGGGTGTCCCAGGCTCACGGACTAATCCAGGAGCATCCCCAAGCTGTCCAACTTTTGTTTTCACATGCATTGCAACCCCATCCAGCACAGGCTGCATCCCTATTGTCTGATCTGCTTTGTGACTCACCAGGAGCACCTCTGTCTTGCCTGGATTAAGTTTCCGTTTATTCGCCCTCATCCGGTCCATGACTGATACCTGGCTCTGATCTAGAGCTGAAACAGCTTCCCCATATTTAGATGGCAAGGCGAGGTAGAGTTGAGTGTCATCTGCAGACTAGTGACACAACCCCAAAATGCTAGATGGTTTCTCCCCGCAGTTTCATGTAGATGTTAAATAACAGGAGACAAAACAGAACCCAGAGGGACACTGCAGGCCAGCCGCCTAATAATGCTGTCATGTGTAATCTGGAATACATGGCAGGTGTCTTACGAATCAGTCTTGTGATTCATTCTCTCCTCTCCTTTCGTTTGCCTCTTCCTCTTGCCTCCTGTTTTCTCTCTGTCATCCGTGCAACATTTTCTCGATGCTGCATACAGTTTAAAATGCAGCATGCTGTTTTTTCTAGCAGCCTTGCAGAAATAAAAGGAATGGAGGAGGGAGAAGAGAAACAGGCCGAGAGAGAGAGAGACACATCCTTTCTCAAGTTGCCCTCCAGAGGGAAAGGCCAGTGACGGAGTGAGGTCTAGTCAGAGAAAGGAGCCAAAGGGCAGCTGCCTGGCTGATGCCATGGGCTGCCCGCCCAGTCTCTCTTCACCCTGCAGTGTTGCGTTGGGGGCCGGAGGGGAGAGGAGAGAGAGAGAGTTACTACTAGAAAACAGTTCAGGGGAAGGCTCTTTTGGCTTGAGTTTCAATGGCTTGAATATCAGTTTCAGGGAGGAACAAGGAAGGCCCGTCGTTTGTGTACAGCGACAAGGGATTGGATGGGTTGGGCTATGTGACTTTCCCCTGCCAGGTGAGCAGGGGAAAGGAATACTTAACATGTGAGGTGAGAGAAGGGTCATGGCCTAAAGGGGCTTCTCAGCAGAGCTCCTTTCAGCCGGGCAACCCTGTCTAACTCCCAGGAGACGGAGTGACAAAAGCCCCTTGATCATCACCCCTTGAGTTGGGTGGCTTTTCCGTTGCGATGAATCTCTCTTATTCCAGGGTAGAGATTGTAGATCTCAGCCTGGCTGTTTCCTTCAAACTCATTATTGACTAAACCAGAACAACCTCTCTGGGGAAAGGAGCACAGATCACAACAGAAGGAAAAGGAGCACACCGTGAATCCTTAGTTCTTCATTCTTTCTATTTTAAATAAATCCAACTGACTCAAAAACATAAGAGTGGCTGGTCCTGTATGGTAGGTAGGCAGGTATCAAGGAGTGCCCCCCCCCAATCTCACTGATTTTTCTTTTACCTTTCTTTCTTCTGTCATGTTACCTTTTAGACAATCACTTTATTTTCTTTTTGCTTACGTTTGGCCCTCCTTCGCTCTGGCCTGGTGCAGAAATCACTGCGAATATGCCCTTTTTCTGTGGCTGAACCATTTGAATTGCCTCCCTGCTCTCTCATAGAGGTTAAAAGGATTGCTGAGGGCATGAATGGGTTCAGATGAGTTCCTACGAACCATCTCAAATTGTAGGGATCTATAGAATATGGTGGCAAAGTGTATTCTGAAGAAGAGAAGATGATGGATGTGTTGGAACCCCTTTATCTTAAAAAAAATAATAACCCGAGAAGCAAGAAAGTAGAGGAAAGGTTGTCTATTCCACTAGCAAACGTAACCCACATGTGAGCATGCAAGTATGGAATTAGAGATGGGCCCGAACCTCAGCCTAGTTCGGCACCACGCCCACACAGGTTTTATGTGGGTTTCTGCACACCTCCCTCTCCGTCCTCCTCTTCGCACTTGCCCCTTCCATTGGCCAACGCATAGTTCTTTCTCCACCTCCCCAACACAACATCTGCCCATTCATGGATTGCAGCGCGTTCTTCTCTGCTCCGCCTCTTTCAGGAGCCACCCACTCAGGCGAGGAGGCAGGGCAGGGAAGCCCACAACATTGCCTTTGAAGGGGCAGCTGCCAGAGGAGGTGGGGGAGAGAAGGGTTTGCTGTGATTCGTGAATCAGCAGTCATGCTGGGGAGGCAGGGAGAGAAGCATATATCGCCTCCGGGATGGGTGGGTGTGCAAAGGAGGAGGAAGAGGGGAATGGGTGGTGCCCACATAACAACTGTGTGTGTATGCAACGTTGAACTGGTCTGAACTACGGTTCATGCCCATCTCTATATGGAATCCCATGAGTAAATTATGGGTAGGCTTTTTATAAAAAAATAAAGCAAAGACCGATAGACAAGGTACTGTATAAAGATGAGATTCTTTTCAAGTAAGCATAGGTCAGGATGTAACTTTTTGTGCTACATTTCTGAAGCATTTGGAGTTTAGCTCAGATGGTGATGAGCTTTATCTTGTCTGTTCCCCGATCCAGGAATGTCCTTGGCCCACAACAGAAAGTAACACGGTTGTGTTAATTACTTGATTAGCTTACAGCAGAGAAAATGCAAACCTAGGCACTGTACATAGGAGGTATAGTTCTGTTTTTCATAGTTTCATTTCTCAACATTCATAGAGCTTACATGGTTTCAATAATACAGTGGTGCCTCGCTTGACGATGTTAATTCATTCCAGCGAAATCGCTGCAGAGCTAAAACATTGTCAAATGAAATTAAAAAAAACCATTGAAATGCATTGAAAACCGTTCAGTGCGTTCCAATGGGCTGAATACCTGCCCATCCAGCAAAGATCCTCCATACGATGGCCATTTTCAGTGCCTGTATTTTATTTTATTTATTTTATTTATATCCCGCCTATCTGGTCAGTTAAGCGAGGAATCCATCCTAGAAAACAGCAGGGGGCCATTTTCTTCAGCCGGCGGCCATTTTGAAACCCGACGATCAGCTGTTTGCTGATTGTCGTAAAGCACAAAAGCCATCGCAAAAACGTCGACGTAATGCTGATTTGTCGTAGAGCGGGGTAATTGTCCAGCGGGGCACGACTGTACATTAGCTCTATATTTTCTTTTATTTGTTGAATTGATACTAAGTAAGCTTATGAGGTTGCAAGAGGAGAAACTCCACAGAAAGATGTGAAGTGGTTGCGTACTTTCTCATATGGCAGCGGTTCCCTACTTTGTATAACCCAGGTGTTCTTGGATTGCAGTTCCCAGAATCCTTCACACCAGCTGTGCTGTTGCAGGTTTCTGGGAGTTGTAGTCCAAGAATACCAGGGTTACCCAAGGTTGGAAACCACTGTCATATGAGCTGAAGGTAAAAGAGCCCGAGGCTTGATATCTCATCATAGTCATGTCAAATGTTAGAGGGTCAATTTGTTGGCCATTTTCCTTCAGTATCTATGAATACAAAGTTGCCGGTAGGTATTTTCGTTTTAAAAAATGCTAAGTAAGGAATGACTACAGAAGAACTGTGTATCTTTAATAAGAATATTGAAGAAATTGTTAAAAGATCTTCTATATCTTGGTTTAGAGATTGTAACCAAATCAGAAACTGTAACCAAAAAATTGAAAGGAGACTTGGCAAAACAGCCATGAAGGAACTAAGAAAAATCCCATAAGAGTAAGGGCTCTGTTTCTGGAAAGTAAATTTAAGACCATTCCAGTTACTGCGCGCCGATGTGAACGCTCGACAGTGAAAAAAAGCTGACAGGAAGTAATTGATTAATTTGAAATTTGGTGTTGGAGCATTGTTTTCTGGGTCTTGCGGACCACTGGAAAAGATTGAAAAGTATGTTCAAGCTGAAGTCAAGCCTGAACCCTTAATGTGAGCTGAAGGGATTGAACTGGGTCTATTATACTGTGGCCATTCTAAAAAGATAAGACTCACTGAAAACAATGTTTAAAAAAATTAAAAGTAGTAGGAAAAGAGAGGCTGAGCATGAGATGGATTGACTTACTTAAAGGCAGCCGTGGCCCTTAAGCCTGTAAAGCTTGGGCAGGGCTGTTAATAATAGCGCCTTTTCAGGGCCCCCAATGCATAGGGTTGCCATTTGTTGGAAGGCAATTCACAGCACTCAACAAGAGGATGCTGTCATTTACCCCATTATGAGCATATCTGAAATTGGTCTCATGTTACCATGATCGTTTCTCTCCCTTCTCTCTCCCCTTTCCACGGCCAGATCTATGAGGAATTGCGGGCCACGGGAGCGGCAGCCGCAGAAGCCAAAGCCCGGCGAATCCTGGCAGGTTTGGGCTTCAACCCTGAGATGCAGAACCGGCAGACCAAGAAGTTCTCTGGGGGCTGGCGCATGAGGGTGTCCCTGGCCAGGTAAGGAGGAGAGTAGAGAGAAAGGACGTGGCCTCTAGAGAGGCGGGAAGCCATACATCCAGGGGGTGGAGGGTGGAGGGTGGGGGCTTTGGCTTGGGGTGACAGGCCGGATTCCTAGTTCACAGCTCACCTCGCCTTCCCCGGTGGACCTGGAGGAATGCCACGAAGTTGTCTGCCTTTTGCTTCACCAGTGAGATCAGGGAACTGTCCCAGGGAGCCCTGAGGATCACGGCAGGCCTTGTAAATGTCCCAAACAGCCTTTTCTCCTTTTCCTGTGCTTGTGACACAGAGCAGCCTTCACTCATTAGCCTTCAGTTAAGAGTCTCTCATCCCATAAGTGTCAGAGATCTAAATGGCTGAATTGGGAGCTCTCTAGAAGACACTCGCTTGGGAGAGTTTATTTTAGGGCCTTTCAGAAGAAATTGACTGGTCACCCTTCAGTGGGAGAGGGGCTGGCAGGATTCAGCCAATGAGTAATGAGCAGTGACTGTTTGGCTTTTTGACCTGAAGGTGCCGCCCACACAGAAAAGAAGCCAGGCATAAAATGTGCCATATATACACGGGACGCAGGGCAATACTGTATTGGAATTTAAGGTTATGAAACATACGTATTTACAACCATTTAGGATGGACTTCTCCTGTCAGAGAAGAACACCAGATGAAAGGGCATAACGCTTTAAACTGAAAGATGGGAGAGATGCTCAGATTAGGAATATATGGGTCTTGTCTTAAAGGCACCCTAAGTAGAATTGAATTTTATATACAGTGGTGCCTCGCACAACGGGTGCCTCGTAGAGCGATGAATTCGCTCTACGAGGCCGTTTTTGCGATCGCAAATGCGATCGCAAAACGGTGCCCGTATAGGCGGGAAATCGCAGAACGAAGGTCGGTAAGCTGCTCGCTTACC